CGAGGAACCCAGCCCCCTGCTTACCCAGCCTGGGGCTGTGACAGAACCAGCTGGCGGGACCCAGTAAAACTAGGGACCCGACTCCTGCTAACCTAGACCAGGTCAGTTACAGATGCAGCTGGGGGACTCGGTACCACCAGGTACCTGGCCCCCTGTTCACCCACCCCGGGGTTGGGGGAAGCCAAGTTGGCCCCCCTTGCAACCTCAATCTGTCAGCATTTTTCAATTAAATTGTGACTAAAAAAATTGAGAAGCTCAGTAAGAAATATCCCTAATTAATCCCGTAAAGTTCATCGTGCTAGTTGGCTAAGCATTATTCAATTAATAAATTTAGTTAGTATTGGCAATTTCTGGCTAATCCATCAAGCACTCCGGGAGGGAACTTGTAATTAAATATCTGGAGAGATTCTCTAAATTGTCTCCTGTGCTAATACCGGCCAATGAGGGGGAAGGAAATCATTTAAAACGAAGCTTTTTCGTTTCATCTCGATTCCCAATAATCTGCCTTTTTTCCCCTTCAAAGGAAATTGTTCCCTAAATTAAAGCACCCGCTGCATTTCTAATTGTATCTCAGTCAAACAGCTCTGGGTTCTTCTCTTCCACATGAAAATCCCTAATGACTTCTAAAATACTTGAAAAAAATTCCTGACTTTTCAAAATCAACTTCGTTAACAGTTCTCTTTTACCCCCTCCCCAAAGCGACAAACACAAAGATAATTACTTAGAAAACACTAACTTCTTCTAAATTCATAGTGACCCTTCTCACTTTTGCAAACAAGTATTTTAAAAAATAATGTATATAGAATATTCATGGGTGAACTGTACAGTATTCAAAATAAACATTGATTTCGGTAGTATTAATACATCCATATTAACTAATAATTACTAATTCAATAAACTATATATTCTTAATCAATAATGGTTCTGAAATATTATTAATAAATCAAAATTAGTATTTGTAAATCAGTAACAATAACATTTCTTTAAAACTATATTTTCTTTTGCTCCCTATATAATTATTAATTGCCAAACCGTGAGGTAATTTTAAAAGCCAACCTGAAATTATATCTAGCAAAGTTTTCATAAAAATGTATCTATAGAGGATCAGGATAAAATGGTCTTTCCTAGAAAAACTAATGTTATTTTCTAAATAGGTTGAAGAAAAACAAATAAATACATTTTAAGGCAGGATTTAGTGGGAAATTAAAGGACTTTTGCATCAATTCAACATCATTAGAAACAGATAAAAATTCAGAAAAATAATTAGGTTTCTTACCAATTGGGTCCCTGTTGAGATGGCATTTTATGTCTTTCTTGATATTCCATTTCCAATGATCGATTAATTAATTGCCTCGTAGATTTTTTTTCTTAAATATCTCTTGTCTTCCATGTAATTTTTATGTCTTGGTAAAAATATCTCAAATGTCTGATAATATTTTCTTTAAAAATTGAACTGGGATTGTAATGCTCATGGAAATATTTTTTCTTGAAATACAAGATTATTATTAAAAAATTCTCAATTAAAAACATTTTCCTTTCCATAACTTGTATGTGATTTGATATCACATAAAGTTTTGATTTGGAAAATAATAACATTTTCTTTATTTTCTTTCCACTCTGGGTCTTTGATATTAAATTTAAAATAAAATTAAAATTAAAAGTTTGTTGATGGTTTTTGGTTTCTACTCAGGAAAAGTTAAATTGGATTAAAACTCGTTTATCATTCTAGTAAACTTTATAAATTCAATCCTGTTAGATTAAAGTTTGTTCCTCCATTTAATTAATCCGATGGATAAAAAATGCAATTAGGCAATTTTTATTAATTTAAAAGTCCATTGCAAAAAGTTTTTGAGCTATCAAATTATATTTAAATTTAGAGATCAATCTAATATCATTAGCTACAATTACACTGCCCTAAAATGAGTTCATTTATCTAATTGCATAAATTAAAAAAACTGGCTAGATATTAACATCTGTTTTACTCCAAGCAATATTTCTCTCCCGTTTCCTGCTACAAAACTTTTAAGAACTAAACTAAGAAACTGCTAAACTGATTGAGAAATCAGTTAATCTAATTAGTCTTATTTCAGCCTGGGCTGAACAGACCAGTCCCTGGTTTCCCCCTCTGCCCTACATATCTATGATTTTATTATTCTTATTGTTCATTATAAGATTGATTAAGAATTAGTAAATTAATTCTCTGAAAAAGGAGGAAAGTGCTAAACCAATTATTCTCCTATCCTAAAAGAACATCTAAAAAAGCAGAATTAAATTATTCTTGTTGAATACAAAGCAGTAGATTGCTACATCATAATTATTATTCGAAGTCATTGGCAGGGAGATGTAGCCAATATTTTCAAGTGATACAACCAAAAGCTTAATTTAGCTCAAGACTTGTATCAACATGTTGACCTCAGCCACCTGTTAAGACGTTATTTTTGCACCCAGCAGATGTGACTTTGTTGTTCGAAACCTTCTGGGCTATTATGCAAAACTGACCCCGAAAGGGTGATGTTTTTGAGAGCCGACCAGTTATTTATGGGAACATTTGTCTAAAAATAAACGGAACTGAAAAACGAACCCTCAGCCACCTGGAGGCTAAACCACCCAAGGATCCTGTAGGCCGAAATCGGCCATCTTGGATCGACAACTCAAAAAGAACACTTTTATTTTATTTTATTAATTTTTGTGAGTTCAGATTCGGAGAGATACAGAAGAGCACTTTAATCCAACAGCAGTCTTGCTGATATGAACACGACTGCTCCAGGACTAAAGTACTACTTACCGGGTATCAAAAATCTGCTTCTCTGGGTTTTTTTTTTAAGTATTAATAATTTTAACACCCCTTTTATAATGGAATGAGGCTGAATAAGACATGAAAGACATTGGCAGCTCCACATCTAACTCCCTTAAACAGCTTTGACAATCCTCACTTGATTCAAAGTACATTTAAGTCAAGTCCGTATAGAGAATAATTAATTGGTTTGCACTCCCAAGGGAAAATAGATCTTTTATTTGATCTTTAAAATGAAGCATGTTAACAAAGTTGTGGGGAAGATTTCTAGGGCAAATAAATAATCCGGCTACTAATTTTCCCCATAACATTTGCTAACAATAAAAAAAATGAAAAACCTACTAAAAATTTCCCACATGGTAACAAACCATGAAATATTTGTCTCCGTGTCTTTAAAGATATTTGCTGGATTCTGTTAGAAATTGTCCATCGACAAGAAGTACAATTTTGAAAAGTGATTTATAAGTCTAAATCTGATTTCAACAGCATCTGAAGCATTTAAGGGCTTAACACTTAAATAACATAATTATTGAGTTTTAACTATTTTCATTTGAGCCTTACATTTCAGCTGTGTGAAATTTTCCTTCAAGTTTTAGTGCTTCTATTTAGTTGTCTTTTTCACCAGCAATAATGTGAAAAAAAAAACCGCACAACTTTGTCACATCGGACCAATAAATGAATATTAATAGAAAGATTTAGAAATAATTTCTAAGTCCAGTCCTGTCATGCTAAAAAGTTTAAGCCAGATTTGGAGTCTGTAATGCCAGAAGACAAGGTAAAATTTAAAGTTTTTACTTGGGTTATTGTGCGGAACTTGGTACAGTCTCAGAAATGTTAGAGAAATAGATTTGAACCGCAGAAAGATTACAGAGACAGATTAACTAAATAAACCGATAAATAAATTAGATGGCAAAAAATAGAACAAGAGATTAGAAAGAGGTTGAATAGAGTTTGTACTAGAAATCCCTGTTTAAAATTCAAGTGAATCATTGAAATAAAATGTTCCATCAATGCTGATATTAATAATCTACTTGGCATTTAATTAAGACCACAATTCATTACCAGATCACGAATACATTTTCCCCAGGCATTTTAAAAGGGTGGCTTTCTTACTGGCTTTCCTTAAGATTATGCACCGAGAAAAATCCTATGTATTCGCGGATTTGGTATTAATAAAATCAGTGATCAACTAATGAATTAAAATAGTCTGACGATGAGTTAAAAGCCCAATCAATCAATCAATCTATGTTTCTCTCATATATGAATGAAAAATAGACTAAGAAGTAGACTGAAATTCTTAATCCTAAACTGGGCAAGACCCTAAACCATACCCGAGAAGAGATAATCCCATATTAGCAAAAAGATTTAGATTATCTTCCTATTTCTGCTCTTCCAAACATTTACAAATAGAGGGTTAAAATCTTTACCTGAAGTTACGGTGACCATCGTTCCTTGGCCCCAGTACTCAAAGATGTTATCACAATGAAACATCTATTGGATACTGGCCCACAGGAACCTACCCACCCAACCGTTCTCTTCAGAATTTTTTCATATCATATTAATGTTCTAATTCTTTAATATTTTTAATATTAAACAAACTAGGGAGTGTTTTAATGCCCAACCATGATCAGGACAAAGGGCTGAGTCCCCAAAATCTAGTGAAGTCCATTAGAGGCAGTTTGAAAATCGACTTGGAAGGGTTGACCCAACTCAGCTGGAATTTGGATCAGGCCCTAAGTTTCAAAGGAGCCTAGCGGAGTTAGGAACCTAGTGGCATTAGGAGCCCAATGGAGTTAGGAGCCTTGTGGAGTTTTAACCCAACTCGGGTTGAAATTCAAAAAGTGCCAGACTATCTTAAGAGTCATTCAAAGCCCTGGAGGATGAATCTATGATCAGAATAAAACAGGTCTGGGTGTGGGGCTAATTCAAGCCGCTCTCTACAAAAGAGATTTTACCAAGACATTAAAATAACAATTTAAAAAAGGACCCAGTATTTCAAAGCAATAAAATTCACTAGGGACCCGCATTCATTTTGGGTCTTTGTCAGAGCATTGGCTTTATGAAAGACAGGTTAAGGTTTTGACCCAAGTCCCAGGACCGCCAACGGAAAGGTCCCGTTGACTTCCACAGGAGTTGAGTCACATTCTTGGCAAAAGCAACGAAACTATCTGAAATAACCCAACGATTAACAAAGATTATTCTTTACCTGAGGTGACGGTGACCATAGTTCCTTGTCCCCAGTAGTCAAACCAGTTATCACACTGGGACATGTCGATGTCAGAGTTTTACAAGAACCTTGTCCCGACAATGAATTAATCGACTCATTGACAAATTGACTATTTAATGAATTAACTAATTGACATGATGACTATTTAACTAATTGACTAATTAATTAATTATTTAATGGGATTAGGAACCGACTTAATTTAAACGAGTGTATCGAGTACTGAATTGGAGGAACCTCTAAAACAGCCTGACATGACTAATTAGAAACATTTTTGATTAGGTCTAAATATCTGTGCTCTGTTCTGTCTTTAAAACACTTTCTCGTGTTTTTTTCTTTTTTCCAATTGATCTATCAAGGGTCAGAGAGACATATTGAGTCACTTCATAATTCCAAGGCAATGACTTTCAAGTCTGTCTAGCCATTCTCTCGAGTTTTCTCGCTCAAATCGTTTTCTGTTTGCCCACCCCAGAATCTCTTTCACTGAAGTCACAGTTAAAATTTAGATTCTGTCCCCCTCGGTCAACAAAATGGAACCACTTCATTTTCTAGGCTACCTAAAATCGTATATTTTCAATGTCTCCGGCTGAGATCTGAGTAATAAAACACTATTAAATAAATCCATTACCTGTTGTCACGGTTACCATAGTCCCTTGTCCCCAGTAAGCGAAGCTCACAGAACTAAATTGTTCGACTCTGGCTGTTCATAAACTTCTCCCCCCACCAAGTACGGTTTTAAGAGCACCCTCAAAGATTTAAGTCCGTTTTTAGGGGAAAGGAATTCGTTAGCAAGGAGATTGCATTCGTACTGTGTCCCCACAAATCACTGGGAATAGCCCCCCCAAAGGAGGCTGACCAAAGACCCCCCCTCCGAACTTAATTTTTTAAAAAAAATCTCAAGTTAAATAATAAGCGTTTTAATAGGAATAAAATTCATACCTGACGTGACGGTGACCATGGTCCCTTGGCCCCAGTAGTCAAAGTAATCACACTGCTGGAGTCCCCATGAGACAGTGTACAAAAACCTAACCCGACTTTGGCCAGAACGTCTGACCCCATTCCGGCATCATTTTTTTGTTAAAAAAAAACCCAACTAAGCTCTCTAAAGACTTTTAAAATCGTCCTTGTAAATGTGGAACTAAAGAAATTGTCAGTCCCGAGGTTCGCTCTACCCACATTTTTAAAGAGCCGTTTTGAGAATGAAAAATAAAAGACCCTCATAAATCAAGGACATTGTACATTAGACTGCAAAGACAGAAGAGAAGTAAGAGCCTGGAATTTACCTGAGGTGACGGTCACCGGGGTCCCTTGACCCCAGTAATCGAATCGGTTGTACACAGAAAGACAGTCATTCTGTTAACCTAGTCAATAACCTCATTGTTCGTTAGAATCAGCCTGGCATGCCAAATAACGAATGCATTTGACTCTGTCTTAGTCCCCTATAACAGCTGTCTACCCGTTTGGCAAGTCCCTCGTTTTTTAGTCATGATTTCTAACACGCCGTGGCGAAAAGAAATAACTAGTAACAAAGACATCCTGAGCTGGGTTGCAGTCAGTGGCGTTTTGCCAAGGACTTGGAAGGCACTAAGGTCAGGCTAGATAGAGTTTGGGAGCTGTTAAGTCAGTTTTATAGTGAACCCACTTTGTTAAGGGAGGGACAGGTCTTTGCAGAATTTAAAGGGGGTTTAAGAAATGCTTCCTAACCTCTGAGTTTGGAAAAAATGCACCCTGAAAAGGAAAATATTTTGTTCCCCTGATCACTAACGACTTAATTCTCAGCATAAAACCGAGGAGATAACTTACCGGAGGTAACGGTCACCATTGTTCCTGGTCCCCAAACGTCAAAAGCATTGTAGTCACAGTGATTCTAATTCATGGCCCCCATGGCTAAAACACACTGGCTTTGCCGGTTCAGCCCTTTGATTCAATTGCCTTTTAGATCAGCGATTATTTCATTTTTAGCCTGATTGCTTTGTCCCCTATGAAAAAAGCCTGCAGGACTTCGGGAAAGTGTCTCAAGAGTCTCAAAACTTGATCACGGTCTAAGATTCATCAATTTAATCAGTTAACAGTAATAGCCGTTAGAAAAGAGGAGGAAAGTTTTACCTGAGGTGACGGTCACTGGGGTCCCTTGTCCCCAGTTATCGAATGCAGCATAGTAGTCACACCGATAAAATCTAGAATGCTCTTTGCACAAAAACCTCTGACTACACTGATTTTCCTTTTAGCCACAGAGGCGTTAATTTAGATAGACTTCTACACTTGACAAGCCAGAACTGATTGTCCAGTTTGACAAGACACCTTTCATCTCAGTTTTCTGATTTGAACAATTTAGCCTTAGTTTCCCCTCGATTTCCTTTAGAATCACCTCCAGATTATTAATAGACTACAAGGAATCTAGATTTTCTTTAGTGGCTATCAACATTTGACCATTTAGTCCTATTTATAATCACTGCCTTCTGTCTAATCTTGCCTAGTAGTGAATTATAACCACTGGAACCTATAAATGTTCACCTAGTCTCATACCAGATCAGTTTACCGAGTCGAATAAAGTGCTATTAATTTTCTTCCCCTTGGGTCAGATCCAGAGCCAACTCAATGAGAAGTTGGGGGGGAATCTTTGCCTTGAATAGAGTCGGCTTTTGATCAAACTCAAAATTTGTTCATTCCCTAGAACTTGCCCGCACATATTTTGGAGTTTGAAATGATTAAAAGGTTTTACCTGTTGTGACAGTGACCATGGTTCCTTGTCCCCAGCTGTCAAAGCCGTAATAATCACATTGATCAAATCTCTTCTCTGGGTCGCACAAAAACCCGTTCTCATTTTCTTAATTCCGTCAAGTGATTTTTGTCTCGGGATTGTTTTACCCCTATTCTACCATTAATCATCTTGATCCACATCCCATGATCATTCCAGTCTTCGCTCAATAATTATTTTAACTCTGACACACTTTGGCACTAAATCCACCTTTTAAAATAACCTACCCACTTAATTTCAGGGAGATTGTCAAAAGTGACAGGAGATTTTTGAATACCAAACCCTAGGCTACTTCGGGATTTTTGTGCTGCCAAAGTTTGGGGTTCGGACTTTCGGCATCACAGAGGTAATTAGAGCATCTAATTTCCCACTTGAATTACTTATGCGGCTTTGAAAATCTTAGCCCTACTTTTTTCACTACCATATTCTTGTCCTGGAAGAAGACCTGTCAAATGAACAGTTTCTAAACCACTAGATTGATCTACGATAACCTGCCAACAATGCTATTTATCTTTGCAACATGAAAACAACCTACCCACACACTTATTCTAACTCTTGGAATTCCACAGGAATTCTCGCTGACAAAGAAATAAGCTTGCAAATTTGGAAGAGTTCATGATCGGCTTTAGGAGAATCAACAGGTAAGGCAATTGGATGGAAAATATTTACCTGACGTGACGGTGACCATAGTTCCTTGACCCCAGTGGTCGAAATACCAGTTACACAGAGATATGTCTTCCCTGTTCCCTTGTACAAATAGCGATTTGTCTACCTATAATTTTTCCTGCCATTATGTTGAAAGTCAGTCATCTCCTTGAATCAAGTCTGAACTAACTTTACAAAGAATTTCTTCCAACTAAATTTCCCACACCACAAATACTGTTAGACACTCATACGTAAGTTGGAGAAAAGGAGAATTTTTAGAAGTTTCCCTCTTTACCTGAAGTGACGGTCACCAAGGTCCCCTGGCCCCAGTAGTCTAAGGGATTACACATTGTTCCTCCTCCCAATGTGCCACTGTCCAAAAATGACTTTCCCCGACTGGCGAAACATTCACAGCACTTTTAAAGATTTGTGCCTGGACCCAAGACACTAACTGAAAGATTTCTAGGCTAGAAGGCACCATATCATTGGCGCTACATCATGCAAGTCAAGGATAAGTCTTTCGGTGGACTTCAATGGGGATCGGTAATAGTTAAGTTTGACAGCATCGGGGTAAAAGGTTAGGAACAAATAGATAATATATAATTCCAAAACAAGGCAAAAGTTTGGTTACCTGAGTCCCTTGTCCCCAGTAGTCAAAAGCCCAGCCGTAGCACGGTAACCTATTCCCCTACCAACTCTTCAAAAATACACCTCCAAGGCGAAGGCAAAATTCTGCCCCCGTAAAACGTAACCTGCCTCTGCGAGGACTGGAATAAAAGTTAGGAATTTACCTGAGGTGACGGTCACGAGAGTTCCTTGTCCCCAGTAGTCAAAAGCACCCCAGTACCACAGTAAAGAGTGGTCCCATTGGCTCCGTACAAATATAATCAGTTGGGTCATAGCGAAATTCCGACCACATAAAATTTAACCGCTTACAACTATGAGGGGCTGAATCAAGGTTAGACGTTTACCTGAGGTGATGGTCACCAGCATCCCTTGTCCCCAGTAGTCAAAAGCAAACCAGTTATAACTCAGTAAAAGACAGTCTTACAAATACGCTCAATCGAGCCAGACCAAAATTCTGACTGAGAAATTCCCCACTCTGTTCAGACTGGAACCAAGTTGAGACAGTCACCCGAGGTGACTGTGATCAGCAGTTCCTGCAAGTACCCCAGCGAGCATATAGAATGGGACCTGATGCCCATTGAAGTCAGGGGAAGACCCCCATGGGTGTTGGGTCAAGTCTATAGACTAGACGACTCTCTGTTGGAAGTTGACTCTACTGCAACAAGTTCAAGGAAGAGCAAGGAGGAGAAAAACATTTAGAAATTTACCTGATGTAACGGTGACCATGGTCCCTTGTCCCCAGTAATCGAAGGCATAGCCATAGTAGCACGGCCATATATTACCTTAACGAGCCTCTACAAATACCACATCCCTCACCCTTACCTTCAAATTGGATATTTTGATGATGCGCAGGGGTGAAATCAACCCTTAAAGCCCATCAAAATCTGATCCCTCCCGGCACCTTCCGAGGTGAGTGTAAACAGACCTAGCTCCATGGACTGAATGAAGCTACTCCAGAAGTCCCCCCAAAAAAGGGATCTAATTTAAACCAGATCGAGAAAACGGTAGTGGTTTAC